GAAGTGAGGAGGTCATATGATGTCAATTTGGTGAGATTTGAAGGATTTAGGGTTTAGGCCGGATTTTCGATTTGATATTTGAGGAGTTTGGTGAGGATTCGAGGGACGGGGTTTGGAGTTTGGGGAGAGGAGATGAAGGCGGTTCAAGGGTGTTAATTTGGACGGATTTGGGTGATCGCCGCCGCCAGGGGATCTTGTGGCGGCGCTAGGGTTCATGTCTTAGATTTAAGATTCGAGGTGCTGGGCTGGGTTTCGAGGAAAAGTGTTTGGATAATCGGAATGGGGAGGTTGAGGAGGGGTTATGGTGTAATTTTTGTGGCATTTGGTGGTTCTCCGCCGCCGTGGACGATTTCCGGTGGCGGAGCTAAGCGGAGCCGGCGAGGTTTCTATGGGGGGGGGGGGGGGTTGAGAGAGACGATGGCTTGGGGTAGGGGGGGCTCCGACCATTTTATATCAAAAAACCTCGTTAGTTCTCATCCGTTGGATGAAGAAAATCAAGGGCTGGGATTAAAACTGAGGAAACGACGTCGTTTTGATTTTAAAAAAAAAGGCTGGACCGGGTTTCCTGAGGCGGGTTGGGCTAAATTGGCGTGGATTTGGGGCTTTAACCTGGGCTAGTGTTATTTATTCAAACATTGGTCCAATTCGGGGTCTTTTATTAATACCTTCTTTTTAATTGTTTTCTTTTATTTTCTTTTTATTTTCATTTTGTATTTGTATTTTTCTGATCCTATAAAAATGCAAAATTAAAATAAAGATCTAATTTATTTCCAAAGTTAAGCTAATTAATTCCTAAAAATTGATTAAGTCCTATTTAAGAGTAAACTCATGACAAATTCAACAATTAACAATTAAAAATGCAAAATGGACTATTTTTGTTATTTTCTTTATATTTTGTTTTAAAAACAACGTAACTACTAATTAATCCTAAAATATGAAATTAGATCCTAAATGCAAATGTCAAGCATGTTTTTTTTTATATATTTTTCATATGAATTAAAATGCACAAATAAAATGCAAACAATTAACAGAAAATAACACAAAATTCACAAAATTGTAAAATAATGAAAGAAAATTATTTCGTTTGAATTTTTGGGAATAATTCACATAGGGCAAAAATCACGTGCTCACAGCTGCCCCTCTTTGCTCGGGAGCATGAAGAGTTTCCGTGCAAAGATAAGTGAGCGAAAACGAGCGATTTTTGCCCATTCGAATATTCCGTGTGAAGCAATTTTGAAAAGTTTGATCGCACCCTGCTTCAAAGGTTGCCTACATATCCTTGGCTAAAAAGGAATCAGGTCAGTGTAGTTCGGGAAGGTTTGGTAGCTGGGACTACCAGGAGCTGTGACTTCACTGCTGTTGCTACTGCTACTGCTTGCTGACCTCCTTATTACACCGTGTCAAAATAAAAAGAAGCTAGCCTACGCTATGATCTATGGATTACAAAAGGTCCTATCTATGTCTTCAAACTTGCTCTTGTATTGCCTTGAACTTGTATTCTTCCGATGGAATCCTTGTTGTTGCCTTGAATTGTGAGTGGAGATGTTTTGCCTTTCCTCCGAGTGATGCTCGATCGGTGAAACTTGAAATGTAGTCCTCCGTTCTCAAGGCGGGCTCCTGACTGCTGAAACTTGAAATGTAGTCCTCTGTTCTCCAGGCGGGCTCCTGACTGCTGAAACTTGAAATGTAGTCCTCTGTTCCCCAGGCGGGCTCCTGCTGCTGAAACTTGAAATGTGTGCCTCTGTTCTCCAGGCGGCTCCTGACTGCTAAAGACTTGAAATATATTCCTCTGTTCTCCAGGCGGGCTCCTGACTTCAAAAAATGACTAAAACAAGAAAATTTCTAGCCCCA